AACTGTATTCTAAATACCACCTTTTTAAACGGTAACTGTAACGGAATACAGTTACTCATATTTTGTATTTTAAATACGTAACGGCGGTACATGTGTTCCGTTACTCCCCAACACTGGTGGTCATTAGATGTAACCATCTGCCACTTCTGCTGACCTGTTGCTATGCTGCTTTTGTTTCCTCTTCCTGTCCTTTGCTGTTCTCTCCTAGATTATCAGTGAGGAGAGGTTCCGTCAGCTGGAAAAAATCAAAACCATTGGCTCCACCTACATGGCAGCTTCTGGCCTCAATGACTCCACCTACGATAAAGAGGGCCGCTCACACATCCTGGCGTTGGCTGATTATGCCATGAGGCTTAGAGAGCAGATGAAATACATCAACGAGCACTCCTTTAACAACTTCCAGATGAAGATAGGTAAACACGGAGGAGAGTGAAAATTGCTCTTGAAATCCGATAAGTTTTCTTTGGATGAGCTTTTGTGATGTCAGTCAACGGAGATCAACAGTAATCCATTCAAGCAGACGCTGCATTAATATTTAGTTAAAGTCCTCTATCTGTTATGATGTCTCACAGCCATGTTTTTTCTTAGGGTTGAACATGGGGCCTGTTGTAGCAGGAGTGATAGGAGCCAGGAAACCCCAGTATGACATCTGGGGGAACACGGTCAATGTGGCCAGCAGGATGGACAGCACAGGCGTGCCAGACTACATTCAGGTAACAGTGACTCAGTGACTCCCCAGCAGTTTGTCATTTTGTGTTTACAAGAAAACGTTTTGTCCTTTTAGTAATTGTCGGATCAGTCAGCCAACATAGAATACCAATCCAGTTACTCGTTAAATTAGTCATCAAATTGTTGCCAGTGGTTATTCCAACATGAAATGCTTATTTACACCCAAAACAATGGCCGCACATTAGCCATCTTCACTCTAGCTGAGAAATGCTCTTCACACACAGTTCAAAGTCTTGTTTACAATATCTAAACCTAGACCTTTGCTCTGTTTGGAAGCATACTACAGATGCTTCCACACGTACTACGTTCTGCACATTCAATCAGTGCACCGTCCTTCACTTTACTTCACTTTAGGCCCAGACATCTGCCCTCCCGAAGTAAGAGTCCTGTGTTGTTTTCTAGCAGTAATTGTGCTCTAAAGTCCCTCTGGGGGAGGAATAGAGAGCCAAATCGAAATTCCCTGTAGACTTCATGCAGCTATCGCAGTGTTATCTCCTTCAGTGGTGGAAAGCCACAGCAAGTTAGCTTTGGGAAAACAAAAAAATCGTATTTATAGATGCAGAACAGATATTTTGACATGTGTGAGAAACATTGAAAGCTGTACTGCCAAAAGAGCTCCTTGAAAGATTGATTCTCATTACAACAGCGCTGCCATCTGCTGCACACTTTGTGTTACTGCAGATCAAAATACCCTCTGCTATGCACTGACGTGAACTGATTGTTTTCATTTCCCAGATAACATTTCGAAGACTTTTTGGTTTAACTTGTATCAATTGAACTACTTTTTTCAGACACTAATAAGTGCTGAAAATTTTTTCTTTTTTAAAACCCTCATATTTAAAAACTTATGCCTCCATCATCATGCTTTAGGGAGAAACTAGGACTGACTCTTAGGAAGGGTTGAATATCTAATATCCTGAGTGTCAAATATCCGCGTCATCTCTTAGGTGACTACAGACTTGTACCACGTGTTGGCCAACAATGGATACCAGCTGGAATGTCGAGGCGTCGTCAAAGTGAAGGGGAAGGGAGAGATGACCACTTACTTCCTCACCAGCGGCCCCCCAGGTAGTTAACGAGAGACCGTTTGACCGCAGAGTGACTCCCACTCCACTGATACGTCAGAGACTGCAAAGAGAGACAGAGAGTGGTCAGCTCGAAGCGTGGTGCAAGCACTCTGGGGACAGTAGAAGGCCAGCAGAGACGAGACTGTATGTTGCTCAGATGCACAAATGGAGGGTGTCGTTCGTGTTAGGAGGTTGTTTTTTTTTTCTCCCCAAGCTGCCCGAGAGATAATGAAGCCCAGTTGCCTTAGGACGGAAGTGACTATGCTTGTGTTTATGAGCAATAGTACAAGTATTTCATCTGGAGTAATTATTTATTTTTTTGTGGAAAAAAACAAAACAAAACTGTTTTATAAAAGAATATATGCAAGGACAACACTATGGATGAAAAATAACCAAAGAACAAGTGTTTGACATTTGACACACACTAATGAATCTGCTCAAAAAGTACAGTAAACTTAAGTAATTTATTCATCCTTTTGCTAGCAAAGGCCACGGTAATGTCACTGTCATCGACAGGCATGAACCGTTATTTTGTTGTGGACTTTATAATGAAGGAGAACGTGCACGTATGCACACATATGCAGACAACAAACGCAACTACCCTGTCTTGGATTTTTGTGTTTCTTATCAGGGCCTTATTTGTTTCCTCCAGTCTGTAGTTTTTAACAGTCTGGATCCTCGGCTGTTTGTGGTTCCCTTAAATCTTTGAGCACTTTGCTCTCCGAAAATTTCTTTTTTTCTCTTTTTTGGTTCAAGCCAAAAACAAGAAGTACGACATGAAGGAAGCACGATTGCATTACTGTCACGGAAATGAAGAGAGATTGTTAAACTGTTATGAAACATTTTATACCAGTGTGTGTGTGCGTGTGTGTGAGACAATGTGCTGTATGTGTGTGGGTGTGACCACATGTTACTGAATGCTGTTCTTTATCTATAAGTGGGCATACCGTCACTCTTCACTGTGAGGTTTTTAAGATACTGTATGACAATGCTTTCTTGCCAAACTGGTTGCTACGAGGCATGTTTTATATTATTCTTTGGAGTTATGTGTCCATTCCTGATTTATGTGTGTGTGCGAGCGCGTGTGTGTGTGTGTTAAAATGATAATTTGAAGAGAATTATGTCTTCTATGCCTTTTACTGGACTGTGATTTTGACTGATTTCATTCCAACTTAAAGCCTACATGATGTATGTTTTTGGATTGTGAACCGGTTTCCTGACCACTTCAGGATTAAGTGTATGCAGAAATTTTCTGTCTGCTCTGTATTGCCTTGAGATTATGCAGTTCCAAGGTCCACATTCTTCATGGACTAGTATATACTTTACACAACAGTATTTGACCTGATTTTGTATTCGGCACACATAGGCTTGTAACCCCACCTGCCACCACCACCCCCGAAACGAGTTATATGAATGTATGTATCAATGAATATTTCTGTCTGAAGCTAATGAAGAAAGCTACTCTTTTCCAAGCCTTTGGTACTACAGAAGGAGCTAGATTACTGTACTGGTGGTCAGATTGATTCAACAAGGAGTTTTTTTGACATTTTAAGGTTCAAACTTGATTGATATGCTCACTTTTCTGTCCAGAAATGCGGCCTTCACGGGCTGCAGAAAAGATCCCCACTTTTGCTCGTCCCTCTCTGGCTTCAATATGAAAGGTTAACTAAACAATGTTGCGTTTTACTTTTAAAAAAAAGTGGCAGTCTGAGAGTACTGCATTAGTGCATTTATTGGTCTGATTAAATTCCCCTCGGTTAAGAAGTCAACAAATGTCTGTTTTGGGGGGTTTATTGTTATTATTTACATTTGTTTATTGTGTTTATTTGGATCGCAGTTTTAATCTATGCTGTTGCACACTTTCCCCACCTTTCACAGTAATAATAATAAAGACTTAATAATTACTTTCACAATCCAGCTTCGGCCCAGACAGTGGTGCTCTGTTTGTTAGCTTTAATTTAGAAATCGTGTCAATCAGCAGACTGCAATCAAGATTTCTCCCTATGACAGTAACCCGAGAGATGCTTCCTTCTCGCTTTCTGAATAAATCAGTCTACGGTTTCAAGAGGGTGATACAGGAGAGAGTATTTAATTGCGTGCACATAAATAATGAATTTCTGTTGAGGTAATAGCGATGCCACTTACAGCACTCTATGCTGAACATTAATTAAGTGACATAAATTCTTCCTAATCCCTGATGAAAAACAGCACGAATGTGTATTCCCTGCGAGTAACAGTGGCCTGTCTCAACTGCTGGCAGCCCAAGTGAGGCTCTTTGTGGGGGGAAAGAAACGCCGCAGCTTTATTTTATTTTTCTTTAAATTGCGGCTCTTGTTTTTGTAGTATTTCGTGTGTTTCAAGAAAGGTCCTCGTGCCATCCTCAAAACTGGCGCGTGAGATGTGACGCACGGAAACAAGTGTAAGTTCAAGACTCGCGCCGCCAGCAGGGGACTCACTTTAACTAATTATTTCAACAAATGGCACCTGTTCGAGTGAAAGCACTGGCTGGGAGAGCGGTTAACGCTAAACTCCTGTTTGGAAACTTTAAAGGAACAAAAAATCCCGTAAAACGCGTCGTGTGAGAACACACACCAATAAAGGAATATCGAGACTGAGGGACCAGGTGCAGATGACGGCTGTTTGTCGGGTTGAGGTAAGTAGCGGTATTTAAAGTGTAGAAACCATCTACAATACCCACCTATTAGTCGCGAGCCGTTTGTGTCATCTGTGACCTTAATTGCCAGATTGGCTTCACGGGATAAAATAAGCCGTTTCTAGTTTATCTCAGACGATTCAGGACGCGTATTTTTCGTGCTATATTTAAAGCTTTTAATGGCCCTACTTGAACCTTAAACCAGGACATATGCAACCAACTCTTCCTCTTTCATTTCTAGTGTGAGCGCGTTTCGCTGAAGGCCCACTGTCTGCGTTGTGTCTGCACTCTCAGCATCTTGCTGACCACAGCCTAAATGCGCTACGATATTCCTAAAGATATAAAAGATTCATTTAAAGTTTTGCCTTCCTGATAAGGAAGAGTTGGCATGTGTAAATTCTACACATTTACTTATGTAAGAGTTATGAGTGAATGAATGAAAGGTTTGTTCTTTATTTCCTCCTGTGGAGCTCCATATTGGATGTCCTGTTGAGCCGGTTTGAAAGTCAGCTGGCTTGTTAAGTGAATTAATTATGACCAAGTAAGAGTGACGGGTCTCTTACTTAACAGTGGTCAGCTAAGGGGACGTGGATGTCCTACATTGCAATGATATCATTTTTCAGGTATCATAGTAGAAAACAGCCTCCAAGGCTGGGTGAAGTTATGCTCCTGTCATGCTCCACGTAGCAAAAAACTACTTCCTGAATCAAGTGACAGATAGTCATTACTGATGAGGTGCCTTTGGGTGTGGGTGTCTTGAGGGAATGCATTGTGCGTCACCTATTTACTGGAACGGGACCTGCAGGGTCAGGCTCACCTGCTGCCACGTGGCTCCTGGAGGATTGTGACCAGAACAGGTGAATTCAGGTGTTTACAAAGAGGTGTGGTGTGTTTGTTCTCGCTCACCTCTTCCCTGTTCTACCTACCCGCCCTGTGGGACTGTTTCCTAAAGAGACAGAGGAGGAGGAGGAGCACGGTTGGCTAGATTACCTACTGCAATGACCGTTGACGGTTGTAGAGGTGCAAGCCGGTTTAAGGGATTGTTGTCATGTTTTTCATTTTTGTATTTACTGTAAAAATAGCTCGGTGACTGTTTAGCAGCTTTAAAAAGGTAAGGGTTACAGGCGTGTCGGGGTTGACGGGATTGTATTTCAAAGTTAGGTTCAAGACAGACAAACTCTACATCTTCTACTCTTTTCCCTTTTTTTTTGTTTTTTTTGTTTAACAGCGTTAAGAGAATGCGGTTTTTTATACGCCGGCGGATGTCCCCCCTTAAACTGGTGCTCCTTGGGGGGACTCTCTTCATGGTGATCTTGGTAGTTCTCCAGAGGGATGTTGGCTCTTCAGCTGGAGACCCCTGGTTACAGGATCTGGTGGTAAAGAGGGACAAAGTAATGGGGATGGTCCGAGAAGCTGTCAACAATATTGGCTTCCAGATCGGCGCTCCACAGCCACCACCAGTAAAAGCGCAGCCTACAGAAGACACCAAGTGCCCCAGTGGATTTTACACTCAGGCTGAGCTCAAACCTCACTTGGAGAGACCACCACAGGACCCCCAAGCTCCAGGGGCTGATGGGAGAGCGTTTCAAAAAGACAGCATGACCCCAGAGGAGGAGAAGGAGAAGGCGGAGGGAATGACACGGCATTGTTTCAACCAGTTTGCCAGTGACCGTATCTCACTCAGCCGCAGTCTGGGGGATGACACCAGGCCTCCTGAGTAAGAGCATGTTATCAGATTTATTACGTACACAGCTTGGTCTCTGTTTTGCCAGCAAGTGTGATGATATGTACACAGGCCAGATAATGTGCTGCATCACAGCTGGGGTCATACTCACAGAGGTGAATTATTTACATCTGTTTGCATAATGTGCTCCCATTTTCCCTGGGGGAAAAACACTTAGTTGAAAGGCTACTCTTACTGTAACCAGTTTTAAATATAGTATGCACAGAATGCAGTATCCTGGTTAGTACAATGCAAGGCAATCTGTTGTAAATAGTTGAATCCGCTCTGTTTGTGTAACGTAACATTTGCACATCCTGGTAGGCTGGAGATTTATCTGCACAGTGACTTTTATTGTGAGCTGGTTATTAAAGGTGATGCATATTGAGCTATGTAACGTATCAGTGAGCAAACCTTGAATATTCTCTATGTGTCACCATGAAAGCCTCTCACGCTCACACACGCCTATTTGTCATTGTCTCTCTGCATTTTGACGTGGCTCACCACCACAGGTGCGTAGAGAGGAAGTTTCGTCGCTGCCCTCCTCTGCCTACCACCAGTGTTATTATAGTGTTCCACAATGAGGCTTGGTCCACCCTCCTCAGGACGGTGTTCAGCGTCCTGCACACATCTCCTGCTATCCTACTAAAAGAGATCATTTTGGTAGATGATGCCAGTACTGCAGGTAAGGGTTAAAAAACATGTAATGTCTTAGCATATGTGATGTGGAGGACTCGCTGACAATACAGCACTGTTGGAGTAAAGTTTTATTGCTAGAAAGCAAATAATAAAGTTATTCCTTTTTTTTCTTTTAAATAATGTAAATAAAATTGTGTCCCAGCCATCATAGGAGGAGGGGAGGCTCCCAGTCTGTTGCAGTGCAAGCTGACAATCAATCATTGACGCTCACATTTATACTTGTGGCCACTTTTGAGTTACTAATTAACCTAGCAGCATGTCTTTGGATTGTAGGAGGAAGCTTGGGCAGCCCTTGACCATTAGATGATCATTAGATTTGAACCCAGAACCTTTTTGCTGTGACATGATGGTGCTAACCACTGCCCCACTTTGCCACCTGTAGAAAGTAATTATGAATAGTTAATTTAATGTGAAAGAAAATCACTGGGATGTGGGTTATTTTTTTTATTTTTTTTTGTATATATTATAATCATGGAATCGCTGCCAAGCAATAACTGGGATAAATGCTAAAAATCTGTCAAGGCTCAACTTAATAAAACTGACCTTCAGGATTTTTAGGGCAATAATTCAGTCGCTTTATCAGCTTTGATAAGATAAACTAGAGAGTGTTCACTTGGGATTTTAGCAGCTTGCTCATAAAATGCAAGCAAGTAGTGCTTTACAGATAGGTGAAGAGACTTGCATTTAGAGCAGGCAAACAATGGTCTGCATTGTCATATATGAGAATGACCCTGTTTACCAGGGAAATGTCCAGAAGGTTTGCTACAGTGAATATGAGCTGCAGGGTGATAGAAAGCCTGCTGGGAGCACCTCCAACGCGGTGAAAGCAGGCAGAACAGTTATGATAAGAGACCTGTTTTTAATATTCTGTTCACTGCTTTCCAAAATGGGAAGTGTTTTACAATCCAGCGTGTCAGGTGATATGACTTTGCTTGCACTGTGTTTGCCAAAGCTGAATACTCACTTTTGGAAATGGCAAACGTCGTGCATCAGCATACTTTCACCATTTTTACCTGTTTTTTTTGTTTTTGTAGATCTACTGACATGCCATTTGTTTCATAGAAAGACCCTTTGTTATGGTTTGCTCTCTAGTTCGAATCTAAGCCATGCAGTCATTGGAATCCCTCTTTATTTGTAGGTCAGGTTTACTACAGTGTTGTAGCTAAAAGATTGCAATCGCACTAAAATAATGAGCCCACTGCTACACATGTCATCAAAAACCTCAAGCATCCTGTTGTTCATTAATGGTATTTGGTGGCCTATTAGATGAGCTTAAAATATCTTTTTTTTCTTCCTTTTTTGCAGCAGTTTTCACTCATATCATGTTGGCACCCTCAAATGCATTTCCTACTGTATGCGAGGTTCTCATTTGACTAACAGATCGCTTTCATAATGCTCATAGTGCGAAGCTGGAGGATTCAGTTAGACTGAAACTTGTAAGAAATGTGGTGTTCACTGTGGTCAAGAAGGCTTCTGCAGAGGAAATGTAACCTAGTTTTACGAGCAGTGTTTACAGTTCATTGGTATTTCTTTTTTCAGTGCTCTCATGGGTACAAACTTTATGGATGATTAACTTTTTCATGTCATTTCACTAAATGCTCTCAGTTTGAAGTTTAATGTCTGTCACATTAACCGCATTGATTACAAAGTGTAGCTTTTATTGCAGCAAAGTTGCAGCTTGCCTCAGGACAACTTTTGTTTTACGTAAAGGAAGGACTGACGTGATTATGTTGCTTCCCTGCAGAGCATTTGAAGAGCAGGCTGGAGGAGTATATACGTCAGCTGAAGATTGTCCGTGTGGTGAGGCAGCCAGAGAGAAAGGGCCTCATCACAGCAAGGCTTCTTGGTGCCAGTATTGCGCAAGCTGAAGTTCTCACCTTCCTTGATGCACACTGTGAGAAAACGCACATGCAAACAATACACAAGTCAAAGTTTCCATTTTAATCATCCCAGGTGATTTACTGAGGCATTTCAGAGTTGGAGGGTTGGCCCCCCAAGAGTTAAAGTAAAAATGTTTGTGCTTTTTCAGCTTCTAATACTGTAAATAATCTAACACTCCAGTACTCTGGGGCAATCGTGGCTCAAGAGTTGGGAGTTCGCCTTGTAATCGGAAGGTTGCCGGTTCGAGCCCCGGCTTGGACAGTCTCGGTCGTTGGGTCCTTGGGCAAGTCACTTCACCCGTTGCCTACTGGTGGTGGTCAGAGGGCCCGGTGGCGCTAGTGTCCAGCAGCCTCGCCTCTGTCAGTGCGCCCCAGGGTGGCTGTGGCTACAATGTAGCTGCCATCACCAGTGTGTGAATGGGTGGATGACAGGTTGTGTAATGCGCTTTGGGGTCCTTAGGGACTAGAAAAGCACTATACAAATACAGGCCAATATACACACATACCCACACAATTTTTACTTGTCCATATTTTGTAATACGTGATTATTTCATCTTACGTGTACTACTAAATAAAAGTGTGTGTTTTATGCGCTGCTTATGAATATATTAAAACCACATAGTTTAAGGGCAGGACCCCAGAAAGGGAGTGGTTTTAATGTAGCAGTATTGAAACAGATGTAGTCAAAACCTGCATCTCTTCTTTTAGTAACTGCTGCATTTGACACACGTAATCAATTCAGCTTGTTGAAGTGATCTCATTTGTTTTACGCTCTTTTTATTTAGTAACTGTTAAACTCTTTCTGCCTAACCGAATCACCGTCGGATACAGTTCAGCTTTTTCATACAAGATCCTTATTTACTTTGGTCTGTGCATTTACAGTGTTTTGCATCAACATTTAAATATTTTCACACAGAAGAAAAAATATAATATAATGCCAGCATACATCTGTCATTACTGTCTATGAGGTCAAACTCATTTTACATGGAGGGTCAAAAGGAACCCACTGTGATCTTGAGTGGAACAGACAAACGAAACTTTGTATCAGTGTAAAGTTGTTTAACTACACATTTAATCTTATCTTATAATAAGATAAAGAAGTGCAATTTCAACAGCAAATCTTGTTTTGGTTTTTTTTTCATGATAAATGTGTAAAATTACAGATTTTTAATAATAAAATTATTTATTATTCACTTACTTTGCTGTAGCATGAATGGCTCTTTATCAACAGCAAAGCTCAATCCAGATGAAATACATAATCATGCTACATGATTCTCAACTAACCACAATTTAGTAACTCCTCGAGTTAAAAGTAACATTTTGAAAAACTCTGTTATATTTAGAGCATCTTTTCAGTGGAATAAGTTGCCTTATGCAATTAGAGAATTGGCTTCTATTCATAATTTTAAAAATCACCTAAAAGCCTATTTAAGCAGTTTTTAATTTATTTGTAAAAACTGTAAGAGGGTAATGTCACTTGTAATGGAAATTGTGTATTTTGTTTGAGTGTTTTTTTTGTTTGTTTTGTTTTGTTTTTTAATAATTTTTAATATTTACATGTTTACATTTTCAGAATTGTAAAACCTTATTGTGGATGTAAGAGCCAAATTATGTGGACATTTTGCATCCAACTCATTGTGTAACATTTTATTTATTTGTATTCGATGGTTTGGGCCCCAGGAAGACTAGCAACCACTGTTGTGGAAGCTAATGGGGTTCCTTATAAATAAAAAAATAAAAAAATAAAACTCACAAAAATACAGTTAAAAGTCACAAAAATCTATGGCCTCCTTCATATTTTCCAAAACTGTTCAGTTGTCCTGATTGGAGTCTTTGGCTGGCCGATTCTGGCCCCTGGGCCTTATGTTTGACATTCCTGGTCTGTATGTTACACTGAATGTGGTATTATTTTTGTAGCTGATATTAAGAAGAAATATGAAGCCATCACTGTCCTGTTTCCCCCGTTTAGGCGAGTGTTTCCATGGTTGGCTAGAGCCCTTACTGGCTCGAATTGTTGAGGAACCCACTGCTGTGGTGAGTCCAGAAATCAGCAGCATTGACCTCAACAGCTTCCAGTTCCATAAGCCTGTGGCCACCAACCGCGCCTATAACAGAGGTAACTTTGACTGGAGCCTGAGTTTTGGCTGGGAAGCCATCCCCGAGGATGCAAAGAAGCTACGCAAGGATGAAACCTACCCTGTAAAGTAAGAACAGTCACGTTGGTGTCACATTCAACTTCCTGAACTGCATAAAATACCTGATTGGTTTCCTGTCTGACTATGAACATTTCAGAACGCCCACTTTTGCTGGAGGTCTCTTCGCGATCTCACAAAAGTACTTTGAACACATCGGAACATACGATGACCAGATGGAGATTTGGGGCGGTGAAAATGTGGAAATGTCCTTCAGGGTCAGACCTCTTTATCTAATCTCTGCTTACACAGATCCACTTTATGTCACAAGTCTCCTGTTACTGAGTTTGAGTGTCATTTTTGATTCAGGTGTGGCAGTGTGGGGGTCAGCTAGAGATCATCCCTTGTTCTGTGGTGGGCCACGTCTTCCGTACCAAGAGCCCCCACACCTTCCCCAAGGGCACTGAGGTCATCACCCGCAACCAGGTGCGCCTAGCTGAAGTCTGGATGGATGACTACAAGAAGATCTACTATCGGCGTAACAAAAATGCAGCAATTATGGCCAGTGAGGTCAGTTTTAAGAATAATTTATCACCCTTGTTCTGATACTTTTTGGCTGGAATTCAGATTCAAGTTGATATAATTTTGTACTCATAAGTTTATTAGTGTGTTGATGTTGTTTTTTAAATAACACCCCTTTTGCTGTACAGCACAGATTTGGAGACATCTCTGATCGCCTGAATCTGAGAGAGAGGCTTCATTGCAAGAACTTCAGCTGGTTTCTAAATACAGTCTACCCAGAGATCTTTATTCCAGACTTAAATCCAGAAAAATCTGGATCTGTGAGTCAGTTTTGTGAATAGCCAACATCTAATGCGCAACATGTGACGTGTACCTGTGGCACTATGTAATTATTGTGTCCATGTTTGGTCCAGATTAAAAACTTGGGGTCTAATATGTGCCTGGATGCTGGAGAGAACAACCAGGGGGGTAAACCTCTCATCATGTATCACTGTCACAACATGGGAGGCAACCAGGTAAAGTAACTGATGCACTATGTTAAAGGCAAGTTGATTATGCTATTCGAGTTCTAATTGGATGATTGTGTCCTTTAGTACTTGGAGTATACGTCTCATAAGGAGCTGCGTCATAACATTGGAAAACAGCTGTGTGTTCATGCGGCAAACCCGGTGAAGCTTGAGCTGTGCCGGCTTAAGGGGAAAGGTACCAGTGTGGCCCCTGAACAGGAGTGGGTCTTTACAGAGGTGAGGAGCAGTTGGAGGCCAACATTTCTTTTTCTTTTTTAACATTTGGCCAAATGCAGCTAATCGCTATCATACTTGTCCACCACATGTAAAGCTACAGCCGTCTTCCAGGTAGCTGCAACTGGGAAATAAAGGGGGAAAAGAGTGAGCTTACTGAGCGTCATCATGAGGTTGCTGAAAAATCTAGTGGACGGTCATCGCAAAGAAAAACTTATAAAACCTCAACTTGCCGTGTGTACACTCTGAACTGCTTTAATGCATGATATATAATATGTAAGGTAGAAAACTTTAGAGGTGGCGCTAGGGAGATTTTACCTTCACCATCTTTTGCTTTATCTCCTGTGACGGTTGTGATTTTTCTCAAACTATGTTTAACCAATTGTTGTATCCAAGCAACAGTTATTTCTTTTAATTATGTTTATTTGAGTTTTGCCAACTCCTTCTGTTCTCCAGGAAAATCTTCTGAAGAATCCAAGCAGTGGACGATGTTTAGCGATGAAAGAAGGCCCGATTTTGATGGACTGCAATGCTGCCGAACTCCACCAGCACTGGACTTTCACCTGACCTTCCAGTCTTCCCGCCGGGTGACCTTTGACACCTTCTACCCTCCCCCCCCCTTTCTCAAACCTGGCACAAAGGAGCCACATCAATATTGATCGAGTAGAACTTCACCGAAGCTGTGAAGCTTGGGGCGCATACTGAATGAATATTTAAAGGAGGGACAAGGTAAAGACAGTCACACCTGTCAGATGCCTGGGGTGGTCTTAGTTCATTTTAAATTTATTTATGAAAGAAACTCTGCGAAGACATTTGCTGGTGGTTGGGGATCTTCAGCGTCTGGGCTGCGGCACTTGGGAGTGTCACCTTGATCGTGGCGAAGCTGTGAAAACGTGTGACCTTAAATGACTGGATTTGCACCTAAACTTGGAAAATTCTTCTTGCTTTGTTTGTTTTTGTCAGACACTGAATGTGATCATAAGTTTATATCTTACTGAGGAGTAACAGATGTCTGCTTTTTAAATAAAAATTATGTTTTAGATGAGGGCTTGTTTGTACACAGTATGTTTTTTCTTTGTTTGTTTTGGCTTTTGGGGTTTTAATATTTTTGTTTTGTTTTTAATTGCCAAGACTATTCCTGAAAGTTTTATACATAAAAACTAAAATATATTGGAGTTGTAACGATCTTCTGTTGTACGTTGTGCTTCTTTGTATATATTTGATATATTACATAAGGCACTAATCTTAATTTTCTTTTTAGCTGGGCAATGGTTGGCACTGATTAACAAAATGTAGCCACTCCTAGGAAGAAGCAAAGGAATAATTTACAAAGACTCTTTGGTTACTGATACTGCAATATTAACTCATCGGGCTTCAAAGTTACGGTAGCCTTAAGCTGTCAGCCTGGAAACGCTTCATGATTCATTTTACAGCCCGAGAAAACTGTGTCCAGGGTGTAGTCTGATAAGAACTCATTCCTACAAAGAGTTAAGACTTTCTTTGTCAGAGGTACCTGTTGGGCTGTTGTGCAACTTTTATCTAAGGAGTGGCTGAGGCGTAAGAAACATTCCTGGCATTAACTTTATGTGACTAGACCTGAAATGTGACTTAAAGCCACTGAGCAGGTTTATCAAACTTCATCTGATGGACTGTGCGGATTCTTGATTTTATATACAAATTAAATTTATGGCAAAGCAGAGTAAATGGCAGCGGTTACATTGAAGGAAGCAATGGCATAGATGCATTACCCATTTTGTACAGTAGGTGGCAGCACAGTCGGGAAACTTTTCTGCAAGGCGAGGATGACAGCTGAAATGTCGAGTGTCATGCAGCCACAGGGAAACGAGTGGTCACAGCAGACGGTCGAAGAACAGATGGGTCAGAAGATGAGCTCAGAGAGTCTGACTCGCTCTGAGGTGTTTGGGCAGCTCAGGAGGGAGCTTTACGGGGAGGAGCGGTCAAGTCATTCCAGTACACACTTATTCATCATACTGGGAGCATCTGTGAGTACAGCTCTTAAAACTGTTCTTTCATGCAGCATATGATGAAATGCCTCGTTTAATGTGGTCACTGGTCTTGTAATAGCACCGTATTCTAAACACGTCGCGGTGTCTGAAGTCAACGTGCATAAAAATAATTCACATATTGTTGCAGTGTGGTGATCCGAATGAAAGCCAGGTGTGAGCGCATGCAGTTTGAAATGTGCTGCAGCTACTTTTTCCTTTGTTGAGCAACAACAGAAGCTGATGATTTGGCAGCGAAAACATTTTCACCGTTTTTGGCTTTGAGCCGGGGACAAAGTACCAGTTGCATGTTTATCGGTCATGAATGTTTCAAGTAACCTAATTCACACTTACAAGTCTGAGTTCTGCAGGTGTGTTGCTGGAAAATGTGACTTATTCAATTACTCTGCAGATTCTCTTGCACCACAGTGATTATTTCCAAAGTTTGCTTAGTCTTTGGACTCTGAGTGTCGGTTCACTGTGAATAGATCTAAAGAAACTTTTTTTTTGAATTTGTATGATTTAAAAAGGGAGATCTTGCTAAAAAGAAGATCTATCCAACCTTATGGTGAGTAAAGAACTGCAGCACGCACACAGCAGCTACATTAATAACAAAACTGTGCTTTAAAGTTGTTTGGTCACCTTGTGTAATGAAGAGTTTGACCTTTGACCAAAGTTTTCTGCACTGCTACCTTTGAATTTTTCAGGTGGTTATTCAGAGACGGCCTTCTTCCAGACAACACGTTTTTTGTGGGTTTTGCTCGGTCCAGCTTGACCGTAGAGGACATCAAGGCAGCATGTCTGCCCCACATGAAGGTAGTACATTTAAGGGTGTTTGACTATTAAAGATAAGATTTTGTGTTTTCAGAAATCATTGTTCCACATCTTCCTCAGGTCAGAGATGAAGAAAGCGACTGCCTATCAGCCTTCTTCAGTAAAAACTCCTACCTGAGAGGCAGGTATGATGACGGCAGCTCCTTCGACCAACTCAGCAAACATCTGTCATCTCTACCTGGGGGCGCCAACGCTAATAGACTTTTCTACCTGGCTCTACCACCGACTGTCTACCATCATGTCAGCAAAAACATCAGAACCCACTGCATGAGCCTCAAGTTAGTACCTGACGAGTCCTTAAAAACAATATCTCACTTAGTGTTGATTGCATTTTCCTAATCCACTGTTTTTGTGGCAGAGGTTGGAACAGGGTAATTGTCGAGAAGCCTTTTGGTCGTGACCTCCAGAGTTCACAGGAACTGTCAACCCACCTTTCGTCCCTCTTTACAGAGAACCAGATCTACCGCATAGATCACTACCTGGGAAAAGAGATGGTCCAGAACCTCATGGTGCTTAGGTAACAAGCTCAGTACAGACTTTCTTGGGTGGACTGGTTGTCATAGACGGTATTGCTGAATTTCAGAAGTATTACTATTCAACTTTTCCATCCTCCTGTTTTGTTTTAGTAATATTTTACTCATTTCCAGGTTTGGAAATCGCATTTTTGGACCCATATGGAACAGGAACAGTGTGGCCTGTGTGGTTCTCACCTTCAAGGAGCCTTTTGGCACTCAGGGCCGTGGAGGATACTTTGATGACTTTGGTATTATTCGGTGAGAGAGACTGCATTCAGATAAATGTAAGTTAAAAAACTAAACTTTCCCTCATTGCTTTCTTTTCTTCTTAATATAGAGATGTCATGCAGAACCATCTTCTCCAGATGCTCTGTTTGGTTGCAATGGAGAAGCCTCCTTCTACCAGTCCAGATGACGTAAGGGATGAGAAGGTAAAACCAGGGATTGGAAGAATTTGGGAATTGCTTTCCATAGCACGATTATCAAGTCTTTGCCATCCTTTATCCACCCCATTTTTTCTTAAACTCTAGGTGAAGGTGTTGAAGTGTATACCTCCTGTTGAAGTATCAGATGTTGTGCTTGGCCAGTATGTCGGAGATCCTGAAGGGGAAGGTCAATCCAGACTGGGATACCTTGATGATCCCACGGTGCCCAAAGACTCCTGGACACCAACTTTTGCAACAGCAGTCCTGCATGTCCAGAATGAGAGATGGGATGGTGAGGCTTTAGTCCAGCTTTTTTGTTCCTCACCTGTCTCTCCTAGTTTACATTTTATCAAGCCTCCTTAAATTCTCCTTCTGCTTTTGCATCCATTATGCATGTCATCGCACCATGCACACCATGTACATCAGGAGTTCCTTTTATTCTGCGCTGTGGTAAAGCACTAAATGAGCGCAAAGCAGAAGTACGTCTGCAGTTCACTGACGTGCCGGGAGACATTTTTGGTGATTGCTGTCAGAGGAATGAGCTGGTGGTGCGGGTGCAGCCAGATGAAGCCATTTACTTAAAAATGATGACCAAGAGGCCTGGAGTTTACTTCAATCCAGAGGAGACTGAGCTGGATCTCACCTACAAGAGTCGATACAAGGTGCCTCAAGCTCATGTCAAAATATTAATTGTAATCCAGCTTTCAGAAGCAACTCTTACTCTTGCAGGAAACATATTATGCTTTTCATAAGACAATTTATTTATGAGCAATCCTTGTGAGCCACAACCTTAGGCTTAGACTGCTTCAGTTTTTGGGGGAGTTGTTCTACTTTCAAATGATGTCAGTATGTGTGGAAATCCTCAATCCAGTCATCTCAGACAAATTGCTCCAGATGTTTGTACAGCAGTGACACCCACCTGTTCTTCAAAGACTCTCTTGGCAATAGATGGAGTTGGAAAAAAGCACAATAAATCACTTTTAAAATAATATTATACTTAATACATTTTGAGACTTTTATGGTGGATGTCCCATTGTTACTTATCCTTGATACTGTAGGTCAGTAAACTTGAACTTAGCATGCATGTAGGAGTTTAACAGCTGCTGTCTGTCTGCAGGATGTGAAGCTCCCAGATGCTTATGAAAGACTCATACTGGATGTCTTCTGTGGAAATCAAATGCATTTTGTTCGCAGGTTGGTGCCATCATTAAAAACATGAGCACATCTGCACAGTTGTTGCCAAATATTTTATCCACACTTTTAGTTGGACATGTGTACCCGCCACATTTAAACAGCTCTTTTTAATTTTTTAGGCAGTGATTTTCAGTGTTCCCTCTTTTTATTTATTTATTTATTGTTGTTGAAATGTTTTCATCTTTCTGTCTCAGTGATGAGTTACGGGAGGCCTGGAGGATCTTCACCCCCCTCCTCCACCAAGTAGAGAAAGAGAAGCCACGCCCCATTCCCTACACATATGGAAGGTAACTACTGTTTTATCAGGCAGAATGAAATACGCATATCATACTTTAACAGTGACAGTTCTTCTTTCCATCTTATCTGTTATGTCCACAGTCGTGGTCCAAGAGAAGCAGACGATCTCCTGAAGAGAGTGGGATTTCGCTATGAGGGAACATACAAGTGGGTGCAGCCCCACACCGCTTAATTCTTTCTGTCTCACAATCAAGTGAGAAAAGATTGTAAACAAACAAACAATCAAGTTTACTGCAGTCACTGCTGCACTTGATTGATTTTTGCATGTACAGAAGAAAGCATTGCTTTTCATGTCTAATTATGCAGAGAATGACAGCAGAGATTAAAACAAGCTGTAACAGTCTGATGTTGATGTAAATCTGGTATTTCTAAATAAATCGTCATTCACACTTTTTCTTGCAATTTTTTTTTTAAAGCATTGCAAATATCTGTATTCTAACGACCTTTGGACATTGTGGACATGGAAAGTCTACAACCTTTATGGTATTTTATAGATACTAGTGTAGGATAATTATTTACTGGCTGTGCCATTTAACTGTTAAGAATTCAAGAGTGTTCACTGTATTGTAAGGCCTTTGTTTACAACTGTCACTAATGCCCAATGGGAGTCATAAACAGACCCATGTATACCAGAAGGACCTGCTGGCCTGGTTCGTAACAACAGGAGCCAACAGAACTCTCTTACTAACATGTTAATCTCTTACAATGCATGAACATGTTTTCAAATGGTTTTATTTTTTTCAATTTCTATCAGCAGTTTTCACCAGATTGATTCTGGTTCTTGTACTTTGTCTCTGCCAGGTTCAAGGCCCAACTGGAACTGCATGCACACAGTTTCTTTAACATCAGTAATAGACCATTAAGTGATCCTGCCAGTACTTTGAAGGCAGCGGGAAGTGCAGCAAGAACAAACATCTTTTTAACAACTTTTTGTAGTTTCTTGTGACAACCTATTGAAGTAATGATTTTAATGGACCATATATATTTGCAGTGTTGG